AGGAAAGCCACAGGTCCTGGCACATTCAAGGGAAAGGAATTATACAAGGGCATGAATACCAAGAGGGGGATCACAAAGGGGCATCCTGGAGTCTGTCCACTGTACCTAGATAGGTCCACTTGGGCTAGGGACAGTGGTATTGAATGTGGTGCCTGGAGGAGACAGATTGTGAGTCTGGCCTGGGTACCAGACCAAATAAAGGTAACAAAAACAACAGATGTGGGCAAACTCAAGAGCTTCATACTCTTTGTGTGTGTAGCTCATTTAATCTACACAATAAGATTGAGCTAAGTAACAGTACTCTCATTTTACAGATGAGTTAAGTGTAAGGGAATAAGTTTCCTTGGCTGGGGAACTGGGCCAGAAGGAGTATGTGGACTTAGAGGAACCACAGAGTCAGTATCATTAGACCACCAGGCTCCAACTGAGAACCATCTGGGTTCAGTGGCAGAGGCCAACGAGATGTCATCAACACTTGCAGACCACCCACTGACATTTGACTAACCACCACTTGCATTGAGAACCTTTCCTGTTTGTTGGCAGAGGACAGTATTCGTTCCCTAGTCAGCCACCCAGAAGATGTGGTTCCTGATGATGTCTTTGTTCAAGCCATCCAGACTATCTCACATGGACATCATTTTCAAGGACCTGAGATACTAAGGAGCCCTTGCAATTGGCACGGGGGCTTGAATACCTGAGAAGTGTGGAAGGTTCAGCCTAGCTGGGGCACAAGGAGGCTGTCTTCAACCCACTGAGCTAAGTGGATGGGAATCCTAAGCTCTAGCAACACAACTATGGGTGAAACATATGTTTTCCTTCAAGTGTCCACTCTGTGAGGGACTAGAGACATGAGTGAAGAAAGCAAAGACTGTCCCTAGTAACAAAGGAAAATGCAGATTTCATTCATGTACTATGGATGTGTCTGTGTTTATACTCAGCAAACATTTATTGAATCCTTCCTCTTGATGGGAGTATAAAGATGAATAATTTCTCTCTCCACCTAGTCCAGGAAGAACACAGGGTAGATAGATCAATGCTAGAACAGAGGTACTGAAGGAGTTCCATGGAAGTATCCTGGCGGGTAGAGGAAGGAGAGGAATTCAAGGAAGGCTTCCTGGAGAAGATACATCATTTTCTTCCCAGCTGGGCATTGTAGAATTGAAAGCACTCTGCCATATGACTGCTGAAGGGTGAGGCCAATAGAAGGCATTGTGGCTTGAGCCCTGGAAGCCAAACTGTGTGGAGAATTGGTGGAAGCTCTTGTTGAGAAAGCACCCAGTGTTTGGAGAGGTAGAAGAAACTCAACTATCACAGCCTTTGATCTAGGGTTAGGGGTTTTGAATATACTCAGAAGTTACTGGAACATCAAGATGGGAAAACAGATTCAGATGAATGCTTTACAAAAAGGACTCTGTGGAGGACAAGTTGGGCGTAGGAAGAGATTGGAGTGGGGGCAGCCCTACTATAATCCAGACAGGAAATAATGAAAGGTTGAACCAAGGCTGTAGAAGCAACAGGAAAGGGGATACAGAGGCACACAGGGTGGGTGATTCTGGGAGATGAAAGAATAGAAACTGACAAGGAAAAAAATCAAAGGCAGAGAGGATATAATGCCATTAACCAAACCATTGACCAAACCCAGAAATCAGGAGGAGAAGTACAAAGGTGGGGCAAATCAGTAAAGGTGTTCAATATGTTAAGTCTCAGGGGCTTATAAGAACAAGACATATTTGGGGAACTGTAGGTGTACAACTCAAGACGGGTCCTCATGGGGATACAATTTTGAGTCATTTTGAGAATGATATTTGGAACTGTGAGAGTGCATTAAAATAGTTTGAGAGATAGTATAGCACCGAGAGAGGGCTGGAGTCTAGGAGAGCGCTGTACATGTGAGAAAGAGGAGGTATGAAACAGCTTAATAGGGATAAAAGTAGAATCAGGAGAGAATGTGGTTATGGAGGCCAAGGGAAGAACGTTTGAAGGAGGAATTCCTGTCGGTAAACCGGACAAGATGAGAACTAAGCAAGGACCACCAGGTGAAGGTGAGTGTCACTGGCAACTTTGGGGGAGCAGTTTGAGAAGAGTGGCAGGAGCAGAATCGACTACCTAAGTAGAGAGGAGGCTAAAGTATATCACACCAGTTACTTCTAGAAGAAATTTGAGAAGGGAAGTGTGAGAAAGTGGCTTGGGGAAGGAGTATTTGAGACATCCTTGTCGCCAAGAGCTACTCCCGTCCGAGCAAGAAACCATCTGTGCACGATAAGAAAGGATTTGAGCTCCCATTTATTTCTTTACATAAAACTCCAGACCAAAATTACCACCTGGGAAGGGAGGAAGGAGAGTTAATGTCTATCATCACATCCAAATTTTGCTTCAGCCGCTTTGGCTAAGACTTCTACAGCTGTCTAAATGCCAGCTCTCCACTCCAAACAAAACAACAAAACACCACCCTCCTCCGCTTCTCCGAAATCTGGAAAAATCGAGCAGGTGCACCGTGCCCGAGTCCGGCGCCCAAAGCCCCGTTCCGAGCTGGCTTTAACCCGGGGATGCTCGGCTCCGGGGCGGGTCTGGACCAAACCGGACAGAGTCGCTCCAGTTCAGCAACCCCGATCCTCCCGCGATGCTCAGGCCCTGCAGTGGCCTCGGCGGGGACAGCAAGTCCCATATACGGTGCCGGGAAGCGAGCAGAGTCAGGAAAACCCTCGGCCCTGCCGCCGGCTACTTCGGCTGGCCACAGTCGGCCTCCATTACCCGTTTCCCGCGCCGCACCTCCCTCCAGAAAATGAAACCTGGTGCCGTCAGCGGAGGCAAAGGGGTGGGAGCTTTCTACTATGCAAGGAGAAAAGGCAGAAGCGACTCCCGACAGCAAAGAGGTGCGGAGACCCAGCCAGGTCGCCGCAACGCCCCGCCCAGGCCCGCCCTCTCGTCGCCAGGGACCACAACTCCCGGAGGCCTCCGCGGCCCCGGGGGCGGGCCCGTCCGCTCTCACCTAACGCTGAGCGGTGACTGGCTTCCCCGGAGGAGGGCGGGGCCTACCCCAGCCAATAGGGGAGAGGCTCGTTACGGCAGCGGAAGCAGCGGCGCTGGGCTGAGGGGTGGGGGGGCAGAGTGCTAGCGCCTCGGCGGCGGC